TTTTATATGTAAACTGCATAGAAAAGGCTTTAAAGGGATCTTTAATTGTAATCTTGAGATAGCTGAGTGGGCTGTTAAAACTGGAATTACCTGCCTATCCATAAACCCAGATCCTAGATAGAAAGATAGATAGATAGATAGATATTTTTTTAAGAAAAAAGCTGTGGGCTGCAGCATATCAGCCTTTGTCAACCTGCCAGCAGTGGAATGTACCATGCTGCAAAGAGTCAGAAAAATAAAATGGAAAAATCAGCATAAGAGCATCATACTCAATCTGCTTGTGTATAACATTCCTATATTGCAATTCTGTTTAAATGTAGATTGTTTCGGAAACAGAAATTGTGTTAAGGTTAGTATAGAACAAAATGATAAAACAGGAGTGGTCTGGTGACATGATTTTGACATGATTGGCTGAGGATTATGATGTAATAGGTTACAGTGCAGCCCCTTATAGGTTTTAAAATGAATTCCAAGACACCATTACAAAGAGAGCCTGATTCTTTTTTCTTCTAACTGAGCTTTACTCAGTGAAACTCATACAAATGCACAACACTGTTTGGAATATGGAAGAATTGGATATAGAATATCCTAAAACAGATATAAATTGTGGCACAGATTTGATGTTTTACATAGAAATGGACCCACCAGGTAATACTGCAGTCTTATTGTACAAGCCTACTTCATTTTTGTCTTGATGATAGCTGCTGCAAAATCCTCATTCAATGTGTAGGATTTATTTACTTTGTTGTTGATGCAAATTTATTTTTTCAGAAATAGAAATTAACCCGTGGTAGTCATGCATAGAAGTAGCAATTAGAATCATAGCCTGAAGTAAATGCTTTGTTTGTTCTTTAATTAGAATTGAATTCAGGTGTTTTAGTTTTGATTTTATTCTCGTGTAATCCTAGTTTTGGATAGTGTATACTAAAATGTTGCATCATTTTTTATTTTTATTTTTGCTATTTCTGCTCTACGTTATGCCTGACAAGATATTATAAAAACACTTGTATTTCCTGATACAGTGATTACACATCAGTATGCATAATAGTCTTGGAGAAAACATGTTAAAATCTAGAAATAGCTTAATTCCTGACTTTGTATCAGTTAGTCATATGATCTTGGAATTGTCATGAGATCTGGACACCACTATTATTATAAAAACATTGTCTTTTGCAGCCAGACATATATTATACAAACAACCATGTACATAGACAATTTAAAATGTATTATAAAACTCAAACCTTTTTTCATTTTTAATCCTGATTCCAACGTTGTCCTCCTAGCTAGTTAGACAAAAATACTGCAGTATGTTTTTTGGCACTCATTGGTGTACGTATGCAGCTTTGACATTGAGAAAAGGGGATGTGGTTTTTAATCAGTCTTGGCATTTGGAACACAATTTATCCTGTCAAGTACTAAGATTAACACTAGGGATATTTGGGTCACAGATGGGTTCCTTAAAGTGGTTTTTGGCAGATCATTGTACAAAATGCTGAGGATCAGAGAAACTCAATTCCTTCTCCTAAAACATATAGTATTGCTGTGGTTTGCTGATTTTATTACCCACAGCACCTCTTATACAAGAAGGGACAAAATTCCTCCTGGACAATTAATTGGGAGGAAAAATAAAAATGAAACTTGACATGCTTTGTAATTTGTAATGATCTCAAGATGGAGATTTTCTGTAGAAGGTGGCATAAGGTGAAAACAAACTTTAGTATAGATACTTTTGCCCCAAACTCCTTTTTTTGGTTGTGTTTTCCTTGAAATGTATTCTTCAACAACTAACATACATCTTTTGGAATAGTAAACCCTTATGGTATAATTAAGTTTGTTTCCAGAAAAAATATCTAGACTTGTTTGTTATCTTACAGTGATTGCCAATAACGGAAACCTGTATTTTGTAATCATTTTCATTTTCCTTTGACGTAATGATTGATGGCATAAATTAGAATTATGAGGCATGTTCTGTTTAATTTGCTACAAACAACTTTTTCCCTCTTCTCTGCAGCACTGCCTCCTAAGCCACCAAAACCTAATACTGTAATTAACAACGGTATGAATAACAACATGTCTTTACAAGATGCTGAATGGTATTGGGGAGATATCTCAAGGTAAGACAGCAAAAGGCATGTGTTTATTTGCTATATTCTCTTCCCATTCTACTTAACTACAAAAAAATTATTATAATAGTACTATTATAGTTGTAAGAGCTGTTTAGAACATTTTCCAACACAAGTATAGCATACACGGCTTTGTTCCAAAGGTAATTAAAACATGACAGTCAGTTAGAATGCAGTATGTCCACAAATATCATTCTTTGAAAGCTGTTATATTATTTTAAGACCTCTATATGAAACACTAGCATGAAAGGACAACACTGAGAACCATCATTTCCCCCTCCTTGCTTCCAAGACCAGAATTCTGAGGCAAAATGCTGAATATAAGCAAAAATTTTAACCCTACTATATATGAGTACAGCAGAGTGTCACTTGATGCTCTAGTTGTGTAGACTTGTATGAACAAGTAGGAATAACTTTGCATACATATAAATCTGTTCCAGCAGTGGGAGGGTATTGGGTACAGCATTTTTATATTCCATTTGTTCACCAGTAAAACTATGAAATGAATGTAAAGTTCTTCTGAAGATAGAGAAGGCCAATGAAAAAAGAAAAGATGCATTTCTGTTTTTAGAAAGATAGAGGGAGAAATGATAGATTATAGTGAGGATATGAGTAAGGGATTGTCATGGGTTACTTTTGCTTTCATATCAGGGAAGAAGTAAATGAGAAACTTCGTGACACTGCTGATGGTACCTTTTTGGTACGAGATGCTTCTACCAAACAGCATGGAGACTATACACTTACACTAAGGTAAAATACTCAGCTAGATTCTGATACTGAAATGTATTCTTACAGAGCTACATTTTAAAATGCTACTTTCTTTAGGCAAAAGCATCTGAAATATGGTTGACTATCTTCCAAATGTTATTTACAGGAAAGGAGGAAATAACAAATTAATCAAAATATTTCACCGAGATGGAAAGTATGGCTTTTCTGACCCATTAACTTTCAACTCTGTGGTTGAGCTAATAAACCACTACCGGAATGAGTCGCTAGCCCAGTATAATCCTAAACTGGATGTAAAATTACTTTATCCAGTATCCAAGTACCAGCAGGTAACATTTTTTATTTTCTTTTTATTCTGCTTATGTACAGAAAAGTTATTAGAGGGAGACAAATTCAATATGGAGAAACTCATCTCAGTTAATATTTGAGATAAGAATAAAGTGGATCTAAAGTTGTTGTTTTTTTTAAATAAAAAGCAATCCATAAAATTGCACATTAAATAATACAAACCTTAAATACTGTAAACAACACATTAGGGAATAAATTCCCCAGATTAAATAAGATAATGTTAATGATGAAATATATCATTTTCATCTTACTGCTGCATGCTTGCAGTGCAAAATTGTCTTTTGTGCATAATTTCATTTCTGATATGCATATTATGTGCCTTCAGTTCATTTCTCCTTCATATTTATTTATTTATTTATCTATTTTTTTACCCCACCTCTGCATTTAAAATATTTGAGGTAGCTTTCAAAATTTTAAAATGCAATATATTAAAAAGTAGAATAAAAGACCCCAAGAGGGAGGCATAAAACCTATTAAGAAGGGCAACACACACACATGCACACACACAAACTCAAACACCAGTAAAAGCATGGGTGGAAAGGGTTGCTTTAGCCTGGTGCTAAAACAATGTCTGCATTGGCGCCAGATGAATATCCCAGGGGAGGGTATTTCATGGTAACGTTATAATACATTTCTCTATGATTGTCATTTTTTTCTTAACCCTTTTTATTTCAAAAATTTGTTTCTTTATTGGATATATTTCTTTCTGCTTATCCTCCCAGGATCAAGTTGTGAAGGAAGACAGTATTGAAGCAGTGGGAAAGAAATTACATGAATATAACACTCAGTTCCAAGAAAAGAGTCGAGAATATGACAGACTCTATGAAGATTACACCAGAACATCTCAGGTGAGTTATCTTTGAGGCAGGGCTTCTAGCTTTCAAGACAACTTATTTGGTTTTAGAAGAACAAAGATATAAATTGCTAATGTTGATTTTGAGGTACTTTTTTCTTTTCTTCTTTTAAAAGACAAACAGTGCTTGATGTGATAGTTCAGTAAGTTAGAATAATTTACTCATATATGAGCTGTTACCTTCCATATAACGTAACCATAGGTTGGGACCCACTCTCAACAAACATTCCATATGCAGAATTCCTGTTGGCTTGGCTGCAAGTCTATATACTGACCATTTGTAGTGCCCACCCATCCCTTGTATGTGCAAATGCAAACTACCACAATACCTTAGATTTTCTTTTTCCAGAGTAAGGTATCATGTACAAAATGCATGGCGTGTGGGTGTGACAACTAGATAAAGTGCAGGAATGAACAGCAACCCACTCCTTCATATTAACCGGTAATTAGCTTAGCTGGGACTGCCAGGGAAATTGGTACTGTTTTATAGTTGCAGAATGAATATTGTGCCTTCTTGTACCTGCAGGAAATATACCTAAAAGATAGGAATTTTGAAGCCTTCTGGAGGTGTGGGTGAAACCTCAAGTAATCACTCAAATCAACTTAGTACAGAGGTGGACAGTAATTTTTGATGGGGGGGGCACTATAAAATTTGGAATGTGGTTGAGGGCCGCACTCTTCCATGGTATTAATGGAGGGAACATTGATGTCTGCCCTGTCCCTGCACAGGCAGCAGCCATGTGCTCTGAAGTCCCTTGTGCTTCATGGCTGCCTGTTTTGAAATAGGCATTCCCATTGGCCAGTTTATGAGTAGAAGCTAGCCAGTGGGATTGTGCTGGGGGTGGGAACCGCTCCTAAAGCTTCCCCTGCCCTTCCAAACTCACAGTTTTTAAAGAAAAATCACTCTGCAGAGAAGTTTCTAAGCGGCGTGAGGGAGGGGCGAGGCAAGTGGGGAACCTGGTTGGGACTTCCTGCAGTGTCTGCAGGCTAGATCCAGTGACTGTATTTTGCCCAGGCCTGACTTAGTATCTTGAGAGTCCCAACTATATCTCTAGGAGTACTCAGGGTATAGTGAGGGCAGTGTCAAAAGGCTACCAGTGCAAAAATAAAAGTCATATATAAAACAAACATAGTAGATAATTCTATGTGTGGTCATTGCCTTTCCTGGAAAGCAGCAAGTGGAACAAGGGTTGATTTTCATATATTGTAAGAATCTACAGAAAATACACATGTTGCTTCAGGGATATAGAAGTACAATTATTTTGCTACAAGATAACTTAAACCTTTCCAGAGATCTAGGTGACTAAACTATCCCTTCTGTTTTAAAGGGACTGTAATGATGATTACTTTTTTTTCAGGAAATACAAATGAAAAGAACGGCTATTGAAGCATTTAATGAAACAATAAAAATATTTGAAGAACAGTGCCAGACACAAGAAAGATACAGCAAAGAATATATTGAAAAGTTTAAACGGGAAGGAAATGAAAAAGAAATTCAAAGGTTGGTACCATAGAAAATATAAAAAAATACAAAGTCATTACGTAAGAGAGAACATCAATGGAATAAATCTGTAATGAAGTGGGTGAAAGCTTGCAAATTTTGCAATTAAATCATAAGAAATAAATCTTGTCTTAGATGTATACAAGTGAAAATAGGAAACCTGGATTATGTATCAGGTTCTAACAAGTATAATAAGCCTAATTCTTTTCTTTAGAATTATGCACAACTATGAGAAGCTGAAGTCTCGAATAAGTGAAATTGTGGACAGCAGACGTAGACTAGAAGAGGATTTAAAGAAGCAAGCAGCCGAATATAGAGAGATTGACAAACGTATGAATAGCATTAAACCAGACCTTATACAGCTGAGAAAGACAAGAGACCAGTATTTGATGTGAGTTCATGTATGAATTACAAAAAAATTCGTTTTCCCACAATGTCCAACTTTTGCCAGTTAAAAAAAATGTATAAACCTGTTCTTAATTATTTTCCAGGTGGTTGACTCAAAAAGGTGTTCGGCAAAAGAAATTAAATGAATGGCTGGGCAATGAAAATACAGAAGAGTAAGTATTTAAGGAAATGAATATTCCTGAAATCAAATAATTTATCACAGTAATGAGTTTAAGCACGTGTAGTTCAATGACTGTAGGAATACTCTTAGGCACAATACTGTCTATCTGGACATAGCTGACACTAGTTTGGATGTGACAACCTGTTTTACTGAGAATATTAGCAAGAGCACCAGTCTTATCCTTTGCTCTTCTAGAAACGTCTCAGAGAGGTATATAGTCAATCAGTTATAGAGAGGATTCTGGGTTCTTCTCATGACTCCCATCACCAGGGCTCGCCGAACCGCGGCGAGCCCTGCTCACCAGCCGTGCTGTCCAGGGATCTGCGCATGCGCAGATTGTTCTGTGCATGCGCAGATCGCCCAAACCCGGCTCTTCCGGGTTACAATCTACTCGCCACGGGCGAGTATATTGTATAACTTGTCGAGCCTTGCCCATCACTAACCTTTTTAGAGACTTGAACTTTCATATGCTACTTAACCTCTAACCTTGCTCTTCCTGTCTATAAAATGGGGATCATGCAATATAACTACCTCAGAGGGGCATTATATATCTGAATCAACATTTATAAAACACTGAGAATTTCTGATGACAGGTTCCTTTAAAGCGCAAAATATTGGTAGTATAGAATCAACCACCAGCAGAGTTGGACAGAACGGAATAGTTCATCCAAAGGCTGGATCTGCTCTGTCTTCATATTCCAGTATATGACTTTTCTGAGTGGAGGAAGGTACTGTTCTGGCATTAAAGCAAATTAGTTTGGACCAGATTTTTAATTTGTTTTCGCCATTGGAATATCGTACATAGACCATGGGTGAAAAGTGTTGATCATGTAACTGCTGAATATTCCAGGCTACATGAGGTGGATATAGTGAGGGATTCTAGTTTCCCCTTTAAGTCAAAACTAAGCAATAGAAGAATGCAAAGAATACCTTCACGAATCAATAGTTTACAAGAAAAAAACAAATATGAAAAGGGGAGTCAGTGGAATTTGTCTCTTGTCTACAATATCAACTTGTATTGCTTCCTGTCCTTGCCTTTCTTGGTCAATGGTAGCAGCAGGGTTAGTGTTGTATCAACAGGTGTGTTGTAAGCAAAACTCGTGAAGTCATTCTGCCGCTCTACTCTGCACTAGTTAGGCCTCAGCTGGAGTACTGTGTCCAGTTCTGGGCGCCACATTTCAAGAAAGATGTGGAGAAATTGGAAAGGGTACAGAGAAGAGCGACAAGAATGATTAAAGGTTTAGAGAACATGACCTATGAAGCCAGGCTTCATGAACTGGGCTTGTTTAGTTTGGAAAAAAGAAGATTAAGGGGGGACATGATAGCGGTTTTCAAATATCTAAAAGGGTGTCACAAGGAGGAAGGAGAAAATTTGTTCCTCTTGGTTTCTGAGGACAGGACAAGGAGTAATGGGCTTAAAGTGCAGCAGGGGAGGTTTAGATTGGACATTAGGAAAAAATTCCTAACTGTCAGGGTGGTCAAATATTGGAATAAATTGCCAAGGGAGGTGGTGGAATCTCCCTCTCTGGAGATATTTAAGAACAGGTTAGATAGACATCTGTCAGGGATGGTGTAGACGGAGCTTGATCCTGCCTTGAGGGCGGGGGGCTGGACTCGATGACCTCTCAAGGTCCCTTCCAGTCCTATTATTCTATGATTCTATGTGTGTGTGTTTTGTATGGTTGCACTCTAGCTTTGTCCAAAATAGCGGTTTGGCTTTCTTAGTTGTCTTCTATTGCTCTAAAACTGATGGAGCTCCACTGGCATTGGCAATTGTGGAAGTATTGAATAGACCAGGCACATGCATTTTTATAATCCCGTTGTTTTACTTTGTTGAGTGCAGTTGAGGCAGATGAGGCAGTAAAAATATAAGCAGCTAGTTTCCATTAGCCTTCATATCATTGCTGTGATGAGAATTCTGCACTGAAGTGTAATAGGTTTAAACAACCATAAACAAAGCGAAACTGTGAATGGAATGATGTCAGATTGGAGGGAGGGCTCAAGTGGGGTTCCACAGGTAATTAGAATTCAAAGGGATCTCTTTAAATTGGAGAACTGGGCTTTAGACAACAACATGAAATTATTTAAAAAAAAAAAAAAAAAGCAAATGAAGTGTTGAGTTGCATTAACAGAAACATAGAATGCACATCACTGGAGGTAATAGTGCTGCTTGATGCTAGTTAGGCCTCAGCTGAAGTACTGTGTCCAGTATTGGTCACTGCTATATACTGTAGAAGGGATGTCAAGAAACTGGAAATGATCCAGATGCAAGTGACAAAGTGGTCAAATGGTGGAATGCAAGCTATATGGGCAAAGGGTAAAGGAATTGGGTATGTTTTGGAAAAGGAGAGGTCTTCAAAAACTTGAAAGGCTGTCATAAAAAAAAGATGGAGAAGATGTTCTCTTGCACCAAAGGGCTGGACAAGAGGCAGTGGGATCAAACTGCAGTATAGCAAGCAGATGTCGGTTAAATCTCAGGATATACTCCTGAAATGTAAGAACAGTTGGAAAATGGAACTAGGGAACTCATGGAAGCTCTGTCACTGGAGGTTTTCAAGAAGAGGCTAGAAGACCATCTATCCTGGATGATTTAGACACAACAAGTACTGCATCTTCGCAGAGGTTAGATAAGAGGACCCTTGCAGTTCCTTCTTACCCTATGGTTCTAGGATTCTATTCTCAGTGCTAGAGCCAATAACGCTAGTGTAGCCAAGGCTGCAGGTGAGGGAGCATAGGATCCAAAATAGTAAATAAAACTTTTAAAAAATAGCTTTTCTTATTTTTCCTTTTGTGTCTTTCCTTGCTAATGAGCCATCTGATTTCTGCTCAGATTTATATTGACACCATTCAGGTTGTTTGTTTACTGACGTTATAATGTAGCCAAACTTAACATTGAAAATGAGCATAGACAACTGGGATCCCTGTTGAGGAGATGGCTTGAGTTAGGGTTGTAGGAGTACAAAGAAGAGCAATGAGGTGTTGCGGGATAAGGATGGTAGCTGGTGTTTATTTGTGAGAGAAAACAGAATCTTTCAAAGAAATTGACTTTCAATAGTGGACACTGTTGCACAGGGATGGATGGGAAGCCATATTTACTCAGTGCCTGGCCAGGTACCTGCTAGCCAGAAGGCAACTAGCCAAAATCTTACTTATAGAAAGATTGGGAGGCACCTATTAGTGCAGGCTGTCAGCCACATCTTGGTGTGTGGGGGAGGGAGAGTACTCTATTCCACTTTTCCATAGTCTCCAGCTGCTTGTTTTCTATCAAGGTGCTTGCCTGTGAGCCTGGTTTGAGGCAGAGTATTTTGAATAACTATAAAATTTCATCTCATGTGGATGATGGACAAGAGAAGGGCTTTCTGTATCTGAGTAGCAGAAAGGCATAGGGAGGGAAGAACATCTGTCCCTTACCTTCCTTATAACCCACTCTGCAGCAGAGAAGAGAGAGAAGTCTATTAATCTGTCCTTTCTATACACCTTTTATTTTTAAGATCTCTTTCCCAAAGTTAGTAATTCAGTTATGCATATCAGCCGCATAAAATGGACATAATTCTTGACCATTTTACCATAGAGTTCTAACGATCAGCAATGAAACTGACCCAGAGGGCAATTTAGATTACTGGGCCTGTTGCTTGCCAAAATTAGAAGCCCTGAAAACAGTCTCTGAAGACTCCATTTCTTTCATATTTATAAAGGTATCTGCACAATATTAATAGAAATAACATTTTTACATGAAAAGTTAGAAGAATTATATAGTTTGGGCCCTTGAACTCACCTTCCTACTAGTTGTCTTTTCAAATACCTAGTTGCTTCTCTGTCACACTGATGAATGTGGCTTGTCTTTGTAGGTTTATTATTCTTGCTTGGGGAGTGAGAGATCCCAGGTTCAAAAAAATATTTGATAAGCCCTTGCAAAGGTTGTGATTGAGGGCTGGACTTGGTAACTGGTCCCTATGAGTGCTACATTTCTATTATTATCCTTTTCAAATTTGTGCAGCCAATACTCTATGGTGGAAGATGATGAAGACTTGCCCCATCATGATGAGAGAACGTGGAATGTGGGAAATATCAACAGAAGCCAAGCTGAAAATCTTCTGCGGGGAAAACGGGATGGAACATTCCTTGTTCGGGAGAGCAGCAAACAGGGCTGCTATGCCTGCTCTGTTGTGTATGTATCCAGATATTTTAAAGAATAGAGGTTACAATGAATTAGAAAAATCATTGCTAATAAGCAGTTTTACTGGGTGATGAGCAGATATGGGCCTGATGCCATTGACTTTAGCAGGCTTTGTATTGGGCTGTCATGCATATGATCAGCTACCCTTCTTGCTTCTTTTTTTCCCTCCTGCAAAATGGGAAACTTCCCTCCTGGGAAGTTTCCACTTAAAACAGCATAGAACACTAGCTGTGGATTCTCTAAAATCTTTGTACCTTCTCCCTGTTAAAGCAGGGTATAAAGCATGACTTGTTGAGAATTCTGGTTAGATGTCAGATGTATTGAATTATTCTGATATAGAATACTGCTATTCTGTGTAATATCAACATTTTAATATTCTCTAGTCTGCTTTTTAAAATGAAAACTTTGCCAATTGAAAACCTTTTTATTTTTTCCCCCTTTAGGGTGGATGGAGAAGTAAAGCACTGTGTCATAAACAAAACCCCCACTGGGTATGGATTTGCAGAGCCATATAACTTGTACAGCTCACTTAAAGAACTGGTGCTACATTACCAACACACATCACTCGTGCAGCACAATGACTCTCTCAATGTCACACTAGCCTACCCAGTATATGCACAGCAGAGGCGATGAAGACCTTAATTCTTTGTTTTAAAACAAAAAAAAACCAACTATACTGAGGCCTCTGGAGAGAGAAGGTTCCTTTCAGCCTGACTCGTGAATTTCAGCTGCAGTATCAAAACTGTCTTGTCTTCTGATGGGGACTAGAGCTTTCTTAACAACTGCAGTGGGAGAGATCGCAGTATTAAGCTGTGAATGTCAGTTTCTAATCTAAAGTACTTTTTTTTTTTTTTTTGAGAAAAGGAAAACACGAGAGAGAGAAATGCTATACCTATATCTCCCTGCAGGGACATGGAGGCCTTTAACCATGGTGCTTGTTTACGATCTCTTTGAAGCTTTACCAGCTAGAATGTGGGATTCTGCAGACCCAAGGTGCAACAGGTCTGTGTTAATTCTGTTAATGGAATTTCTCTGTCATGACAAGTTTCAGATTTGGTGTTGCTGTACTCAGTGGATCCAGACACAGAGCATTGTGGATTTTCGTTTCCTGATGAATGATATGTAGCAGAATGGCACTTTCACTTATAAGAGACACTTTAAAAAGACTTCGGTTACAGTATGTTGTTCAGAGGAAATGAGGTAGTAGCAAAGTGCCAGGAAGTGTTTTGTTCAGACATTTAAAATCCCATGTTAAGAACATATTTAAGACTGAAGAACATGGGACTGTCAATGGCATACAGTATATAAAAATGTACATAACGGATGACTAACTATCATCAGTGGAAACTATCAATACCAAACTGCTTCTATTTTCTCTTTTCTGTTTGCTGAAAGCTGATTCCTTACACAGTGCTATGCAATACTGAATTTTCTTTTGGTTGTATTTCTCTTTCAGGTATACCCACGGGATAAGCTTTTTTTCTGTTTTGTGTTGCCTGAAAATGTTTTTCCTGAGTATTATTTTTGTTAATATTAATTTTGTTGTTCGGGGATTTTTGTTTTGTTTTGTTTTTTAAGAAATGTACAGGATGCCAGTAAAAGTTGGCTTCAGAATTAAAACTATGAACATTTTACAGTTGTCCTTGTATAGAAGGTTTAAAGGTTCCTTTTTTTTTTAGACTAAATATTTTGTTGGGCAGTGCCTGATAAGCTTCAAAGCTGCTTTATTCAATAAAAAATATATGAGCATTACAAAGTATCACTGAGTCTAACAATATTGTTTCAAGGATAACGTTAGAATATGGTACCACACTATATTTGCTTCTTAAAGCATTTTGGACTTCTGTCCCGATTGTCTTTGTATTTGGAAAAAGAAAAAAATGTGCATCCCCTTCGGAGTGTTGCTGTGGAAGAACAAATGAAAACTGGATACTAGAATAGTCAGTTTGGATTTCAAGCTTAATCCATATAGACTTTTCATAGTAAAAAATAAATCCAGCATCTTGACCTACCATAGTAGATGTTTTGTCAGCATGTCAAGATACCTTTCATTTCATATGAAGGCAATTTATCTAAAATGTGTGCTTGTTTTTCTGTGTTACTAGAAAAAGGCCCCTGAGGTTTGTTTGTTGTTTTCTGATGAATCAGGTACAAGATAAAGTAAATTTAGATGGTAAAACCTTGCTTTTTAACATTAGAATGTCCATAACTAACTTTTGTTATTTCATAAATTTACTTACTGAAATATAATGTCACCTAAAAGAGCAAATTTAAAATTTCAGGTACCAAACAGTTAGAAGATTTCTGTTAAATTTAGTTAAAGAAACAAAGGAAGACAGTGTCCTGTTTACCAAAATTGTAAAGGGTTATTTACTATGGGTTTCTGGAATGGTTATCCACTCCCAGCATCAGATAAATTCATGCTGCTATTTCACATTTTACAGATTAATAGGGCAATGATGTCAGAGAAATCTTGAAGATTTTTTTAGTCCAGGTGAAGATTTTAATTGTTTTTCCCTTGAAGTACAAGTGGAACACCCTTTATTGTTAAAGAGAGTTAGTTGCATTCACCATGGAAGAAATAAGTCCCATTGAATCCCCTGATTATCCCCCCTTCTGAAATTTCTCACTCTTAAAATGAAGTATTAAGTACTTTGTTAGGCAATTAGTTTGCCACCTGTGGTTTATTTCTATATTACCTCTTCATTTCTGATGCTGAGAAGTTTTTTTTTTGGGGGGGGGGGGGGGTTGTTTTTCAGGCTGTTGATTCTCCTTTTCTGTGGAATATATTTTCTCCTACCAGAACCTAATTTTTTACATATCAGGGAGCAAAGCTCAATCATCATTAATGTATGAGGACAATTATCACTTTCAAAAGCATGTTGAACTTTTTTCCAGTTACACAAGCCTACAGTGGCAAGTGAGACCATCTGAATTTGTTCCCAATTATTATGGTTTTAAGTCATTAGCAGAGCTCAAATTTCAAATTAATCTGGTAAACAGCAATTAAGCAACCTTCATAGTATATCAAAATATGCTTCTAAGTATAAACAAAAATTAAAATAATGTGTTAATCATAGTGAAGGAAAAATATTACATTTATTTTCTTTGGGCAAAATGTGTACAGCCTGAATTGAAGTGTCACATTTTCAGGAAGCATGTAGTGGTTACAAATCCGGGACCTGACTTTCCCCTGATTTCCACAGAAGTCAATGGGCTCAGTTCTCAGCTGGGATACATTGTGTTGTTCTACTATTGCCATTGGTGATGCTAGGTCGATTTACACCACCTGAGGACCTGTGCTTATCCTGGAGAAAAGCTAGTTTATGTGAGAATCAGGGCCCTGGCTTTGCTTGCACAAACAAGGGCAAACAAGCGCAAAGCTGAGATTTTTTTTCATTGAGGCATCTTAAAGTGAAATTTAGCTTACACAAGGTCTATGCACTACTTAAAGGTCATTTAAACCCACAAAATACGGCTTTAGTTGGTTTCATGTAGTGCTTAGATTATATGTGGGCTCTCTCCTTAGTGAATGGTACAGTACTGCAGCTTTGCCAAAAAACATTTTTTATTCCTGAGTTTTATGCCCTTCATATATTGTATGACCTTGAACTAAGCCAGCTTTAATATCTCTGGAAACTCAAACTTCATATGAACATGAAACAAAGGTATGTGGATATAACTGACAAAATACGGTGCTTTTAATGTCATTTCTACTCAGCTGTAATTTTTGCATCTACTATGATTAAAGTGTTTTGAATACTTAAGTCTCTGAGTAGCAGCAGTACTTTTTACAAGGCTGCTGAAAGGTAGCTGTATGCGTGACCATAAGAAAAGTGAGAGAAAGCAATTTATTGTTTCTTTAAACTGAAGCTTTGATTTGGGGTGTGTTTGTGTGTGTGAATGAATCATAATCCAGGTGCATCTTTCACCAAACACCAATGAAGCACATGCTCTCACTCATTTCTTTGTTTAAAAATAAATACGCACACACACACACTCATCCATACCTATCTTTTTCGATGAAAGTTGTTTCTAAATAAAGTGAGAAGATTGTGTAGTTCTGTTTTTAGAAACAAATCATCTGAATGGTTCACTTAACTATCAAAAATCTGTAAAGCCAAACCTTCTGTTTAATGCCAGCTGTTCTGTAGAAAAGGAGTGGCTTTATCTTGTAACTGGCAATGAACTATAATGCTTGGGAAAGCCTTCCAGTGCTTTTAATTGGGAAACTTCTGCCAGTTATAACACAGTGCTTTTGCTATGCATGGTATTCAGTTGGGAAAGTGAATCCTGATATTGTTTCTCTTCGGGGTCGCTTTAGAAATGGGCAGCTCGACGCACAATGCCTCCCATGGGACAAGGTTCCAAAATGCAACATTCTGTACAAAATTAATGAACTTTATAGACTGAGCCGTCAATCGACGGATCTCATCTGCTAATAGCATGGAAGACTAAACTGGACTGGCTATGTGAGTTGATAGTTACATTGCACTTGTCCCTATGAGACTGCATTAGCTGCCCAAGATGCTGCTATTTTTTGTATTCTTGTTTTTAAAAAATTAAGCTCTGTTCTGTTAAATGTCTTTTAAAACATTAAAATTGCTTTGTTTTAAAACTCGTCTTGGAGGAGATGGAGGATAGGATGGGTTGTAAATTGCCTTTACAGGGCAATAATAAAAATGTGCCTCCTTGAAATTTTGTTCAAGCTATAGATTTGATGGAGCTGTGTCTTGTTTTTAAGTTGCTTTAAAAATTGTACTAGGTCTTCAAACAGAATAAAGGTTGTTTTGAAATTGCATTTTACTTGTCGAGGCCTCAATAAGGACTTTGAGAAGTTACATTGCTGACTCCTACAATGGGTTTGTTCTCTACTTTATAAACGAAAATTGAAGGTGCATATTGGTCAAGGGAGCTACCAGTAGTTAACTTGTGATTTGTACTCATTCTTAGTTATTCTTTTAACTTAGTCTAGTGACAGTTGCCACTGAAGAGCTCTGAAGAAGTCTCATACACATAATGACATTGAGAATGGTAGTTGTCTTAAATCAGTAAACACTGCAAAATCAATGTAATGTTAAATGAGTTATAAGCCTGTTCCCTAATACCTTCAGACTCCAGGTTGTAATCCTGGCTCCACAGATATCAATGGGAGTTTTGCCATTGATTTCAGTGGGGCCAGTATGTCACTCTCTATCCAAATTTAACTTAGCAGCGTGGACACAATCATCTGCAAAAAACAATGACGAGAAAAGGGGATAAAAAAAGGCAAAATTGTTTTCTTCCAGACATTGCTAGTGGGGAATCAGGGGAACGTCTTATTGTCTCCACTTGGTAAAAGAGGGTAGACTTGGGAAAAGTGATCAAGATTTCCCTTTCTATCTCCCCTATTGACAAGAACAAAAGCCAGAGTCTGGGAAGGTGAGGTAACAGTTCTATCCATAGAAAATGTTCCATTCCAGAATTTGCACTAATAGTGCAAATGGTAATTGTGTACTGGTGCCCACAGAAATCACAGCATGAAAATAGTAAGTACTTACTCTTCACAGTCCTAGTAGAGTGCCCCTTGCTGGACACTCACCAACCAGGCCACTGGGTTTGGGTCCCCTGGTGATGGAACCATGTGTTCCTAACCTTCCCTTAGTCCTAGAGCCTACTCAAACCATCTCTTTCTTTGGCCTCTCTGGAATACTGCCTGGGCATGGACACTGCTACTCCTCTGCTGAACTCACAGCTTGCCCATGGCACTGAGGACCAAAGATGATGTCCCCAAAACACTCCCATTATCTAAAACAGAGCTCCAACCTTGTGGGCACTCTCGTTAACAGTTTCTCCAGCGACATAATAGTTGAAGCATATAACACACTGGATTTGTAGAGGGTTTCTAACACACACTTTGTTAGCAGAAGCTCTAGACAAAATAATAAAACACCTCTATGCCATCTCCTGCCCCAATTACCTTCCCACACTTGAATGTTATTTGGGATTTAATCAGAGTCCCCTAGAGTATTCAGGATCCCCATCTCACACATTGTTTCTCCTCTGAATTAGGGACTCTGTCACTTTCCTACAGCCAGTTTCCTTCTCTCAGCTGGTCTTACCATCAGGACAAAGTCATGCTTCTCCATCCTCTCCTTTGCCCCAAGACTCCTTAGACTTTTTTAAACCACTGCTCTGCCACCGTCCTCCTTTTATTCTCATGAAAAAAGCAACAAATGGTCTGGTAACACTTTGAAGACTAACAAAACATGTAGATGGTATCATGAGCTTTCGTGGGCACAGCCCACTTCTTCAGATGACCGGAGTTGGGGATTTTCTCATTGGTTGGGGATTTTCCACTCTTTTAAACCTGAACTTTGCTGTCAGTAAAAAAAAAAATAAAATAAAAATATTTCACTTAAGTTGTGTCCATCCCAATATCCTAGGGTGCTCTCATTTAAATGGAAACTATTCATGTTAATGAATCTCCATTATCTTTGGTCTGGGTGGGAAGTTACAGCATCATATGGTTGATTCTCCATCCAGTGAAGCAGTTAGTTATACAGCATAATAAAATCAATGGGAAATCTACACTTTATCTAGATGGATTCCCCAAATCATTGCAAACATGTATCGGAAATTCTTATTTAAAATATTAACTATGGGCTACTATTAAAGTATTATCCCACCTAATATTGTCTGGTTGGGTCTTTAGGTTGTTTATGCACACTGCAGTTCACTTCTGCTAAAACGGACGATAGCAAACTTCTCTAATGTCTTCTGTCAGAACATGTTAACACAAGCGTCTCTTCTAAGATCCACCAGATACAGCTTAAAGATAAGACCGTAAATGGTGTGATCTTGCACCACAGAATATTTTATTGTCAGCCACTGGAATTACTTTGGTTAAACATATTTCTGGACTGCATTATATTTATGTAGATGTGGTCCTTGGCAGACAATAGATATTTACAAAATTAGTGCTGTTTCATTTTGATATCTCTCTCTCACACACCCACATGCATTTTAGTGTAATTCCAACCCCATCTTCCCTACAAAATAAATCTAACTTGTGCAACATATGGTACATGACCAAGTCTCTTTACCTGAGTTTATGAACCCAGAAAAGACAGAAATGGTAAACATTTCATTTGCCATCTAGACAGTAGAACATCTGTATAGGAACCAATTGGGGATTGAGGACTTCATAAAATCAAAAAAAATCATAAAATTAAACTGTTCAGAATTACAATAGATGTATGCAGTCATTAATTTATAGTTCAGTGGAAGTGTACATAGCAAATGGTAACAAAGTTATATATAATCTGCCTGCATCTTTTCTTTGTTGTTAAATCTCTCTCTTTTCAAACCTGTACAACTGTTTGAATGTTGGCTGGAGGACTGAAGTCACTTAAATGGAAGAAAGGTGACTGATCTTATGAAGACTAGTTGAATGAGCCATTTTCCTGCCACCAATGTTCATAAAATCAGGGGACTGGAGTACATTTCTCTAAGTCAATAAAATCAGAGGGCCAATAAGTGCCAACATTAGTTGGACATTATGCACCATGTCATTGGTAGGCATCATGCAGTCTGTGCAACTAGACAAGGAGCAGATAAATACCAACACTTCACACTAAGCAACAGGATCCAAAGCACCAAAGAAGAGGTAGAAACTACGTGAGAAAGTGTGGGTGTACTACATGTGCACAACAGCAAGCCTCAACCACCTTTCCTCAAGAATAGTAATCACCAGTCAGTCTGACCTGGTCAGTCATCCAGCCCCCAGACTGAAGGTAAGTATGACTCATTCTCACGCTGCTGCCAACTGGTGATGTGAAATCAATGGCTAGGAAGCAATAAAAGATAGCAGCAGTGGCAGCTTGCGTTTTATGCTATTGCTCTATTTTTTGAGCAGTTTTAAACACTTGTCAAGACACAGTTCACTAAAATGAGGTGGACTGAGGCACTGACTGTGCTCTCCTTGCCCGTTAGAAAAGAGTCTCTTGCTCAACTTTAACAGTAATTTCATTCTTTCTGTGGCTAATCTGCCTCATCTTTCTAGCTCCCTGATTGTTTTGGTTCTTCGAGTCACTGCTGGTTAAACCTACAGCCAGAGCTACCTGGTTCTAAACTGAACAACCCTAAGGAAGCTCAACTGCAGCTGCCAGTCATACAGCTGCAGCTGCCAAATAGTTGTCCTAGCCAGAGATACTGCTTTACTTTTTCTCTTTTGCCCTGGTCCCTCTATTTTGTGAGGATTAGGATTGTTTGCCATACTGCAGGGCTTTCCTTTACAGGATTCACGGATCTTCAGACTACTATCAAAATGATCCCTTCTACAGTACAGTATGCTAGTACATCCTAATATAAAATCTTTATAGGCCTGGTCTACATTAGGTCCTTTGTCCAAAATTAGCCCCACCAAGCTTGACTTTGCAAGCAATACGTCCACACTACCAAGCCCATTATTCCAGAATAAGGGGCTGTGGAATATGAACTCTGTAGTCCTGCTTTTCACGAGAAATGCTATTCCCGAACTTGTAAGGCCAAAATAACAGTGTGAATGCTCTGATGCTGCTAATTTGAAATTATTGGCCTCCAGGTGGCCTCCTACAGCTCCCCAGAGTGCTTCCTGGGTCTCTGAATCCAAGGTAGCGTGTCCCCATTAATGGAGCCTGCCTTGGACTACAGTCAGTTCTTCCCTGGCGTGAGAACATGGAACTTCTAATTTGTAAATCGGGTGCCAGAAGTCAAACTTAAAATTTTGGACTAATCTCCTAGTGTAGATGTTGCCTTAAAGCCAAACAGCTGCTTTACTGAACAGAGTGAATTTAAATCTCTGATGCTGGATGCTTTCCCTAAGGCTGGGGAGATGTCAGTGATGCAGCCAGAACTAGAATCACCTGTCCTGATTTTCAGTGCTCTGCCATAGCCACCAGCCCATCCAAAAATGAGGCTTACTTAGAATCTCAGATACAGTACTAGAAAAGGAAGTCAGTAAATAC